ATATCCATGAACTTTGATTCGAATAAAAGTTTGAAACACCTGAATAACTTACGGGTACAAATAGACAGTGACTGGTTTCCTCTTGCTTTCATGTGTGGGAACTATTTCAGCAAATTACAAATAGATCAGAATTCAATGTAATAAACAAAATCTGGAGACACAAAGAACCCATGACTTAGGTTTAATAAATGGACTAAAGCAACATTTGCAATATCGTTCAGCGTTAATTTGGGTTCATAGAGAATCATCAATTAGTTATTTGCCAGCCACAGGTAATTGAAAACTCTTGTAGGAGACTGTCCTTAACTGCCTTATTTCACTAGAGTTCTCTTAATAGAAAGACTGCCTTCCAGGCTTAGTAAAACTCAGGTAGGAGAAGGATTCGGGGACCATTCTAGTCCTGTATTAGAAACTACTGCAGTATTCTTCAACACTGTCAGTTGACACTAAGAGGAAGACGAGTGTGCACAAATGTATAATTGTGTTTTTTTTTTTAATTTTAGAATTCTTTTATTTAAATTTATTTATTTATTTAAGTGAGAGAGAGAGAGAGAGAGAGAGAGAGGAGAGGGGGAGAGAGAGAGAGAGAGACAGAGCGAGAGAGAGAGAAGGCAAGCTGTCAGGTCCAGGACTCAAACCGTGATCAGCCATGTGGGAGTCCACCACTCTTAACCAGCATGCCATCTGCCAGCCTCTGTTTGTTTTTAACAATAAATGCATGCTTTTTTTGTATGCCACAAAAATGATGTCATGACCACAGTTTTCCTTTACTTTAAATCTTTTAGGAGTAATACAATGAGGATGAACCTTGAAAATTTTGTGCCCAGTAAAATAAGCAAGGTGCAAACAGAAATATTATATGATTTCACTTATAGGAGAACGGAATAGTCGAATTCATACAGACGGACTAGTGGTTTCCAGAGGCAGGGGTGAGGGAGGAATGGAGAATTACTGTTTAATAGCTATAGAATTTCGGGTTGTGATGAAAACATTGTGGAGACAGGGAAAGTGAGAAATCTCCCCCCAGGAAAAATGGCCATGCCACAATACCTTCCCCTTTAGTCTCCTCTTGGGCTTTTGGGCACACACGAACATGTGCCTGGCATGTTTCAAGTTGTTGGGTCCAGGACTCGAACCATGGTCAGCCATGTGGGAATCCGGCACCTTAACCACCATGTCACCTGCTGGCACCCTACAAGTCAGGTTGTGAGTGTGGGTAGAACCTGTGAATGGGGTAAACTATCAGTCCCAGGAATGTGTTACGTTACATGGCAAAAGGGAGGTCACCCAGGTAGGTCTGATCTACTCACACAGTCTCTTTAGAAAGCAGAGTGTTTTCTGGCTGATGGCAGAAGAGGAAGTCAGAGATTTCAATCATGAAGAAGGAAACCATGTACTAGAGTGGATTCTTACCGACAGCCAGCCACGAAATAGGGACGTTGGTCCTACACCTGCAAGGAAGTGGATCCTGACGACAACCTGAATGAGCTGTATGAAAAATAAAAGCAGGCCAGCTGTGGTGGTGCAGTGTGAACACACATTCTGCGATGTTGAAGCCACATGGGAAAGGCCCCGGGGTTTCCCTGCATGCTGGATGTGAGCACACGCCTGTGATCCTGGCTGGCTGAGGCTGGCCATGGACTGTGGTATGAAGGTGTGGTCTGATAAAGGTGCCTGTCTGTGTGTTTCTTTCCTATGGAAGAAATTTTTAAGAAATGTCAAAAAAAAACAGATAAAAAGTTTATTATGCGTTCAAAAAACAGAACGGAGAGACTTGTAAGCAAAGGTGGTAAAGAGCCCAGCTCACAGCAGTTATAGTGCAGCTTATAAAGCATAAAGGAGGAAGTATGTTGACCTTCGTAGTTAGCTGGTACACATGCACGCTCTTTTTAGAAATGTTTATTTTTATTTATTTATTTTTACTATAGGGTGCATGTGCTTGCTGGAAAGAGTCAGAGAGAGAGAGAAAGAGAGAGAGAGAGAGGGAGAGGGAGGGAGAGAGAGAAGGAACCTGAGGAAGCACCCCTCCTTCCCTGGGGAGGAATGGCCACACCACAATCCCTTCTCCATCCTCCTTTCAGGATTTCATGCGTGTGTGTGTGTGTGTGTGCATGTGCGTGTGTGTGCACACACGTGCACACACACACACACACGTTTGGTGTGTTTTTCAAGTCACTGGGTCCAGGACTTGAACTGCACAGCCAGCCATGAGGGACCCAGCCACCTTGGCCACCATGTCACTGGCTGGTCCCCTTAATGTCCTTTTTTAAGGCAAAGCTGCTGAAGCTGATTTGACTATCACTGACTGACTTAATTTCATTGAATCATGCTGCCTACAGCTAGTGTTTCAGGGAAACAGAGATGACTTCAATTTTGGCTTCATGGCGATGGGTAGTTGAACTTGGGGTATCTAAAGTGTGGTTTCTATTTTTATTTTAACACTTGAGAGATTTTCCCAGAGCTTCCATCCAGATTAGAGCCTGGCTTGGCCAGTACCTTGATTGCAGGCTTGTTACGCCCAGCCAAACCCACCCAGACCTCTGACCTGTAGAACTGTCACACAATTGTCAGTGTTCTTTTCAGTCACTAAGTTTGTGGTAATTTGTTGCACAGCAGTAATACAAGGTAATCCAAGAGTATTACATAATGGCATGATTACCAGGACGCGAGGATCATGGGGCCTGTCTGCCACAGGAGCCAACATAACAGCTTCTCGTCCAGACCAGCAGAACTGCTCAGGTAACTCAGACTCATGAGCAACAGTAAGAGGCGGTTGTCTCAAGCCACTAGACTCAGACTGGTTTGTTGAGTAGTTAAAGCTAACTGTTACAACTTCTGAGTTGATAGAGCAATTCCTTTTAAATGAAAATCCCCATCCTATTTCTGAAGATAATAATAATGAAGAACATAGCCTCTGAATGCGAGCCTATCACTTTCTGTGTTATCAATTATTATACTTACTTACCAGCATTGTGGTGGGAACTCTATATTCACGATCTTATTTATTTATTTAATGTTACAGAATGGCTCCAGCCCTGCAGGGCACTTGCATCACCACTGCAGCATAGCAGCTAGGTTCTCAGTATCTAACTAAAACCATATAACCCTGAGGTAGTTATTTCTAAGATTCAGTGACTTTATGCTGTATTTTCATTTTATGGAGTTAAGTAATCTTGATTACGTTCACCTTTCCATCCTGAATTCTCTTGTCTATAAAATGGGCTTGATTATTACACTGATCTATAAACTGTGAGTGCTTTGTACATATTAGAAATCATGACCAGCCATGGATGGCTATTTGCCATGGAAACCTATCTGAAATCGTGACTGTATCAACACGGACTATATCTACATGATGTACACTGTATCTACATGAGCATCAACACCTGGTTTCATGCAGTCAGTTCAAATGGGCCTGTTTGCCTCCCTGCCCATCCAGACACACCAACTAATCACTAAAAGAAGCTCAAGATACCCTAATTCACAGGTTAATGGTAAGCTCTGGCTCTGGAACTGAAAAAGGGGAGCTAATATTTTTGAGGGCTCTATTTTAGGTGCCAGGCTGGATGATTTACATCAGCTGATTATGAATGAATTCCTTTGGACTGAGGCTGGAACACACATAATTAATTACGCAAGTTATCCCAGGTAATTTCTACTGTATACCCATTGTTGAGAATTACTGACATATAAATCCCTATTAATATAATCCCTAGAACTCTTCTAATTAGGTTTTATGTTCACTTTATAGTAAAGGAATGGATGTCCCCAGAGGTTAACTCACTTTCCAAGATCATACCCCTCAGAAAGCCAAGTTTTTCCCACTTCATCAAAAGGACGCATGTTCTGAGCGGAAGAGACAATCGCACTCACCACATCAAGAGAGAGATACTAAACCCAAAGGAAAGACTGACGGTTCCGACTTCATCATCAGATCACCTGGTGGACCCTGTTATCGGCCATGAACCCTGCTCAGCCACATCAGCCCTTGCCGACCTCTGCCCTGAACTGCTTCCACATGAACAACTGGCTATTTAGATGGTCCTACTCAAGCAGACCTTGTTTTTGCAGCTACATCAAGGACTCTGCACATTTCCTAGTTGTCACACCTGGTGACATGGCAGGCAAATAATGGCAAGAGCTCTAGTCTCAGAGCCAAACGGTCTGCCCCAGTCGGCCTCCTGCAAATACTTACCTGGGAGACCACCGTATGGCATTTCATTCTTTGGATTTCAGCTTTGTAAGCATAAAATAGGGA